AGACAGACAGAGAGACAGACAGAGAGACAGACAGACAGACAGAGAGACAGACAGACAGACAGCGAGACAGACAGACAGACAGAGAGACAGACAGAGAGACAGACAGACAGAGAGACAGACAGAGAGACAAACAGACAGAGAGACAGACAGACAGACAGACAGACAGACAGAGAGATGACAGACAGAGAGATGACAGACAGACAGACAGAGAGACAGACAGACAGACAGACAGACAGAGAGATGACAGACAGAGAGATGACAGACAGACAGACAGACAGAGAGACAGACAGACAGACAGAGAGAGAGAGAGACAGACAGACTTTATTAATCCCGCAAAGGGAAATTTGTTCGCTACAGCAGCAAAAAGGTTTAAGCCATGCAAGCTGACAACTTCAGAGCTAGCTCACCTAGCATAGCCACTAGCTCACCTAGCGTAGCCGCTAACTCACCTCGGAGTCGAACGTTGGATTGTAGTCGTTGTAACCGGAGTAAAGATCCTCCTCCTCCACAGCCAGGTGTACGTTCTCCATCTCTCTCTCTCTCTCTCTCTGTGACGAACCGCTCATGAACAATACGAACAAAACAAAACCTGTTAGCTGTTATATAAATACACAGAAAGGTAAACAGCGAAGATAGTTTGTGTTGTCGTTATAGGATTTTCAAATCCCACAATTCAACGCGGCATGGGTGGGACAATTTACGTTTTCAAACCTCTGATTGGTTTACTTACACGTCAATCAGCCATTAGCATGAACACTATTGGTCGAAGCTGATTTCACCCGTTGCTAGGATACAGATGTAACCTAACAGCTAGATTTTATCGTTCACAGCTCAGTTTCATCTAAAGCAATGTAAATACAACTCACAATGAACAATAGCAGTTAATTAATGGCGGATATGTGGTTCGTTCTTTGTTTTCGACGAGGTAAATGCAGTATATTTCAGTCTTTCGCGTTTTTTGTCCTTCTACGTTTCCGTACCCTTACATAGCATCGTGACTGCTGAGGGGCGGGGCTACAGTTTTAGTGGAACAACGTTTTTCTGATCTGATCGCTGCATAAAATCTTAAAAATGAGCTCTTCTGACATGAAGATCATTGCTGTGATCGGCAGGTGAGCAACAAAAGACGCTTCTGTGTTGTTTATACTTTGCATCTAAGGTGTTATTATGTTATTCGTGGAGCTGACATGTAACTTATGACTTCCTTTACTGATACTGATGCATTTGCACATTTTATTGTTTAAACTTAGTTATTTCATATGACTAAGATAATTTCCTGACATCTTATATCGTTATACATTTGCAGCAGCTCTTTCAATCAGGAGCGTGTGTTTTTGGTGTCAGAAGTGTAACAAAATCTGAACACAAATACACATTTACTATGTCAATAATTAACTTTTAAACTCAATAAATAGTGTTTTATTTCTATCTTTACTACAATAACTGCATTATATTGGATGGTGATCAGTTGAAGCGTATTTTCTTTGGGGGATTTGTCTGTAAATACAGCTAATTTATTTCAGATGAGCATTTTAACATTTAGGAAAATGTAGTTGTATTGTAAATTATGCAAATTAATCAAACAAACTAAGTGTCAAAGTGAGTGGGACAAAAACAAGAGTGAAGAATGAAACGGACATACCTTGGCTTTCAATGATTAATCATTTAACCTAAGTTACTCTTAAGTTTACCATTTTAGTTTATATTTTTACAATACACTTTGGAAAGATGTGTTGTAAAATTAAGTTGTGTGTGACCTCTCTTAAACAATGAAGTAAATAGTAAAAGTCACATCCAGATATCCACTCACCTGTGTTTGATGTGCACAAACATGCACAAAAATCCTCCGTAATATTCTGGTTAGAAAATCACAACCAACTAAACCTGAGTTTCCACTCCAGGATTTGTGCTTTGAACAACAGCAAAGCCTGCAGACATTTCACTTTGTAACTGACGTGTGTGTGTGTGTGTGTGTGTGTGTGTGGGAAAGAGTGAAGTGTTGGGAACTACAAAAAAAGAGAGATACTGCAGCACAACATAAAGGAGTTATTTATGTTCATGGAAGAAGTGACGGTGAAAACACACCACAGCAATAACCAAAACAAAAGAACACACCGATTGTGACATTAGTATTGTTTAATTAATGTGATTTTGTTGTCTTCACAGAGAAGAGATTAAAGTCAACAGTGAACATCTTACATTATTATTTGTGTTTTGTTTCAGTGGGCTGATCGGCCGCTCCTGGGCCATGGTGTTTGTCAGTGGAGGCTACAGTGTGAAGATCTACGACAACCAACCAGGACAGTCTGCCAACGCCATCACAGAGATCAGGTCAGCCTCATACATGCACTCATCTATTATCCTCCTGTCAGCCTGAGGAAAGGCCTCTTGGAGAGGCTTTTTAGCTTCAGCTGGATTAAGGAACTGTTGATGTTATTGAGATAATGCCCTTAATATTGGGCTGTACAAATAAACGGTACATGGCCTGTCTGGAAGTCCTCAATAAGACCTAAAGCTACTGTGAGGAACACTTAACAGGTCATATGACCTCCATCAGTAAAGAGACCATCAGAGAGAAGATGGTCTGTTTCTATAGAGTTATTCTTAATGCTCGTCATTGGAGCCACCGGGTCAGATTCAGGTGAAATCATGCAGGTTCACCAGAAACTCCTTCAGCTCAGACTCCAGCAGAGGCCGGTCCACCTTGGACAGACCCAGATCCTCCAGCAGAGGCCGGTCCACCGTGGACAGACCCAGATCCTCCAGCAGAGACCGGTCCACCGTGGACAGACGCAGATCCTCCAGCAGAGACCGGTCCACCATGGACAGACCCAGATCCTTATTTCCTTATTTCCTTTAAGATGAATTATACATTTTCATGGCTTTCTAGTCAATAAGTGTTTGTGGCTGACGGACCTTGTCCAAAACTTAAACCGTTCTTCCTTCCAGCACTTGCACAGAAGAGACATGGACACTCATGGATCAGTGACCTCCTTTTACTGAAGGAACACATGGACAGACACGTGTTCAGGCCTCAAAACTCTCTCACTGCTAGTTAAACATTACTGTGGGATGACAAAGGACTTTTGGTGAGAACTTCACGTAGAGTAAGGAACATCTACAACCCTTAAAACTAACTGTGGAACAAAGCCAGACACTATACAAGGATCTCATTATTTGAGAGGGCCCTGTTTTTAAAAAGTGGAGTTTCCTTTACACCACTTCAACATTCAGGTATGTCGCAATTCATCTACGAGCAGCAGCTGCTTCTGTGCTATCATGAGTGGCAGCCAGCATGGATAATCGTAGCATGAAATTTCTTCCTTCAAGATTTCAGGCTCCACTGTTAACATCATTTATTGAAGCGTACAAATCTGCTGCCTTTATATTTTGATAATGCTTCCTAGACATTAGAAGAGTAATGTCGCATGTCATCGTCTTTGGAGGAACTTGGGTTGAGCATTGAGCCTCTTTCTCTGTGTGTGTTGGCTCAGGAAGCAGCTGGAGGAGCTGGAGGAAGCTCACATGCTGAGAGGAGATCTGACCTCCAAGCAGCAGCTCTGCCTGCTCAGCAGCTACGAGGACCTGGCTCAGGCTCTGGAGGGAGCCTTCTTTGTCCAGGTGACTCACCAGCACATGTTGTGTCCTAATGCTATAATCAAATGTACAAGATTTACTCAAGTTCTGTACAATGTTGAGGTACCTTTATTCTTAAGTCTTTTAATTTAATGCTGCTTAGTTCTTCTCCTCCACTACATTTCATTTAGAGACGTTGTACTTTCTACTTCACGACATTAAGTTACTTCACAGATTAAGATTCATGTGATAAGTTTATAAAATATGTTTCTGTGCTACAGATGAATACATCCAACATTACATAAAGTATTTAAATGTGCTCAACCTCCACCAGCTGTCACATAAGAATGCTGCTCATGTGTTAAAGCATCAGTAATAATATATCACATCAAAGGGACAATTATGCTCAACAAGAACTTTTATTTTTAAGTGCATTTTGATGCTAATATTTTGTACTTTTACTTTTTTTAAAGTAACATTTTAAGTGCAGTATTTCTACTTGTGAAAGAGTATTTATACACTGTGGTATTAGTATTTTTACTTTCGTAAAATATCTGAGTACTTCTTCCACCACTGCAGTGTGAGGAATGCTATGTTGTTGGTTTATTCACTGGTTCATCCATTCATCAAACGCACCATGAATCAAATATTTGGAGTGCTCGTAGTAATCTCAGTACAGTATATTCTGGTATTTTCTTTTTTTAAATACACCGTTTGTCCTCAAGGGGGCGCGACATCATTGGTTAATATGTGTGCCGGATGCTACGCTACCTCAGACACCACTGATGGAACATGAATAAAGCTGAGCACTAAATTCACAGCTGAGTTTCTGCATTTTGCAAAGTTTAGACTGTTCTCCTCTTTGTGGATTTTATGTGTAATAAAGTAAAGTCAGGTTATGTATTACAGAGTATTTAGTGCATGTTTTTTGTGTAGTGAAGGCAGGCTTGCTTTTCTTTCCCTCCAATTTATTTGTTTTTCAGTACCAGTGATATGATAATCAACATATGTTTTTATATATTAAATAAATTAAAAGAAGATAAAAGTTCCAAATACAAACTATAAAAGACAATTATAACGGAGGGCCGATTAGACAGACGACACAAAATAAAAGTTATATACTGAACTGATTTGACAGAAGAACTTATTTGTTCATCACACACTTACCTTTAAATCTATTATAACTAACCTGAATTCATCAGATGCCGAAATTTAAAATATGATTGCGTTATATTTTTGAGTAGTTAAGATACTATGCAGTTAAATGTATACGTATACAAAGTCATGTGTATGCTGTACATGCTTTGCAGTATAACTTTCCTTCCAGCTCAAAGATGCCGGGATACTTTTTATTTTTTGTTCAGGTTAATCTGGTTCTTACAGTTGAATCAATTGGCATATTTGCATATGACCCAAGTCACACTTGAACAAGCGATGTGGAAGTAAACAACTTTAATGTGCTTCACCATTAGTACACGCACCGACTCCCTTGCAGCGTCCTCACATGTAGCTTTGGTGTCCGGTTTCAGTTTCTGGTATTTTAATACCGTTAATGCAACAAAATAAGAAATGTGTGTATATTGGGGTTTGCATGTTGTGCTTGTTGCTGTCCCTAAATTTTCTATATGTTAAAAAGTGCTTGCCACTGATGGGCCAAGAAAGGCACAAGAATTGGTTGTCAATTTCTTAAAATGACGACGCACACTATCGAGCCCTGCTTCCATGAGGCCTTTAAATGAGCTGTCTGTTACATAAACTAAGTAACTCAAGCAGAGAATTCTTTTGAGAAAAGGTTCAGTCGGAAGTCGTCATGACAAGAGTCGCGCTGCATTTGAAACGCGGCATTTAAACACGAAATCACTCATCGTGTCTTTTTGTCATGCTGTCTCGACAATGGGTATTGCTTACTTAAAAGAAAAGAAAAACATGGACTTCTTAAGCCAAAAGAGATACGGGCAGGGCCAGAATAAATCAATACTCTGTACAGAGTTCAGGAGCAATGGAGGACTTATTAGAAACAGGGAAATAACATATAGGACGACGCAAAGTTTTCCCTGTTCAGATACCATGACGCCCACCGATGCAAATTCCCCCCGTTATTGATCCGGGCTTGTCTAAAGGAGTTCAGGAGTATCACTCAGTCAGACTGTGTTACAGAACAAAGCAGTAAAACATATAGTGAAGAAGAGAAGAGAACAGAACAAAATGATAGATAGATAGTAAACTATAAATACATTACCACTCTTACATTACTCGCTTTTGTCTATATGTCTCCAGACAGCTGTCACTTCATATCATCACATTATTGCTCACGCATTCTGCAGGTATGCTGCTCGTCCAGACACTCTTTGCATTGGCTCACACTTGATGGATGTTCTCAAAAGCTTATTGACGTCCCACTATTGCTTTCAAGAGCCACTCCTTTCCAACGCTGTGACAGGGAGGACAATAAAATAAAATATGGCTGAGCCTCTGATGGATAGTTTAATTGCCCTTCAACTTATTTGACAGAGAAGATTTTCGTGGGAATAGTTTGCAGCTTTGCTGTAATCAAAGAAATATTGATGACAAAGTTAAAGGATCCTTTGATTCACCCAAATTACATTTTGGACCTTTAGTGGTGTTGATGTCTACTGATAGTTTTGGTTTTATTTATCAGAGTACATTCTCAATACAGCAGTTAGACGTTTAACAAGAAACAAAAGTATTTATTTATTTGAAAAATGGGAGTGAAAACACGCGTTTGTGCGTTTTTGACTCCCACTCGTCTTTTGACTCCCTGACGAAAACTTGACGCCGAAAGGCGTCAGAATTTGTCTTTAGGTCTAACATGACCATGCCGTTACAATAAATAGAGTCCCGTGGTGTTTTCTTGTGGTTTTAGTTGTGATGAAGTTTTCATCTTCACTGTGATGCTTTGCTGGTTCTCTGCCAAGATAAATACAAATAAATGAGTTACTGATTTATTGTTTCGACAATTGTGTTATTCTGTGTAATAGTTAAGACAGAAGTTTTTATATTCAAATGACAGTTAGAGTAGTAGAGTGGGAGCAGGAGCATAATATTTACTTACTGTCTAGCAGAAATAATGTCAATGGTACATTTTGGTATACTTTCCCTGTATGTGTGTCTCCAGGAGTGCGTATTTGAACAGCTTGAGGTCAAGCAGAGCGTCTTCCAGGACATCGAGCGTCTGGCGGGGAAAGAAGTCATCCTGAGCAGCTCCACCTCCTGTCTGGTGCCAAGCAAGGTCTTCTCTAAAGTACAGAACAGGAGTCGCTGCCTCGTCTCCCATCCGGTTAGTGATGCTACACTCCTGGTACCAGTAAAGTGATTTCAACCTAATTAACTACAAGCTGGGGAAGCCATCTTAGATAACAATCCCCCAAACATGTATTTACAGGTTCCTTGCCCTGTTTTCACACATGAGCACATAAACCTGAAGTGCACTGGTACCCAAGTTAAAGTCTGTTTAAACTTAAATATCTATAATAATAATAATCATAATCATGATTATTAACTTCAAAGAACGCACAGGACAACTCACTCTCCTTTTCCTCTTTTTTATTATCAACCCATTTTGCTTTGTTTACTTTCTTACGGCCAATTTTCGGAACAGTAATACGAGCACCTAGTGACTTATTGACTTTGGCAGTAGAGTTATTTAAGTTGGTAACCTTTCAAGAAAACAAAGTACACAAATGCCATTCCTTTCAAAACAAAGTCGTCTGCTCCTATTTACCTATTCCAGTGAAATCTATCTATCTATCTATCTATCTATCTATCTATCTATCTATCTATCTATCTATCTATCTATCTATCTATCTCCATGTAATTATACTTCATCAATAGATGCTGCAGCATTGTACAAAAATAGGCCTTCTCATCACTCGTAACTAAGAAAAGTCTTCTCATAACAGAGCTGCCAAATAAATCAAGCAAACCAGACTAATATGTATGCTGCTTTATTTTTCATGATGTACAGTATTTACTGAATTTGACTGGAAACTATTTATTTAGTTAGATTATAACGTAGCACCAAAATATTTTATGTCAATGCAACAGATAGATTAGCACTTCCAATTGCTGACTCTGTTTTTACGAACCGCTTTCCTTGAGGAGGATTTTTAGAGAACAACCTAACAGACTCACTCGCCTCACTATCGTCAGCTATTTTGATGCATAACGACAAACAAGCATTTTTTATCAGTGTCCCAGTTGTTCCTGAAATATCTTTATTGTTCATTTTATTATTTTACTTTTTGGGAATTACAAAATGTTTCAGTCTTTTTATCTGCTGACCCTGAAAAATAACCATTTGCCTCTAACGTCACAGTCTGCCTTTTGACAGTCAAAAACAATTATATTTAATTTGTATGTATATAGAGAGTAAGATAAATAATGGGATGTATTTATACCAGGCCTGAATGTTTGCATGTTGCATTTAACTCTGGTAACTGTATCAGAAAGACTGTCATCAGCATTTTAGATAATGTCCGCTGTCAATCACTGAGAAGCTTTCTAAGGTGACTCAGCATGTTAACATACAATGTCACCCACTCCTTCACAAAGGTAAAATGACAGATTTAGCTATGTGTCACCAGGAAGCTTGAAAGGATTCAGTCGTCACTCCACAAGTGCACTGTTCTCTTCTCTTCTGTCATTACTTCTGTTTGTGATGCTGATAGATTTTCACGTTAGAACGGTCTGATTTAAGTGTTGGTGTAGGACAGTGTCGTTGTGTTGTGCTGTAAACTGTACTGTCAGTAGTCTGTAAAGTGTATTTAGGTCTCTTTTGGAAAAGAGATCTTAATCTCAATGTGACTGAGTAAATATAAAATTAAATAAAACTAAAAAAGAGAAAAGTTTAAAAACAGCACAATTGGCAAACTGTGTCAAAAGTCTGATTTAATATTAAGAAACTGTAGGTGAAGAAAATGTATATATTACAAAAACACTATTATTGTAGTATTGTGCCTAAATTCTATGAATTGTAGTATATTATACGATAGAATACTGAAATAAAATGTGGCATAGTACAGATTAATGTTGTGTAAAATGGTGTATTGAGTTATAATGTAGTTTAGTGTGCTGTATTAACAAGATGTGTCATAGTGCATTACGGCCTGTTATTTGACTCAAAGTCTAATCAATCAATCAATCTTTTATTAACGACCACTCGATCCAGGTCGGTGGGATTTGGTTTGGGTCCATCATGGTGAGTATAGGTCAGTCCCCATAGTGGTCATTTCACATAGTGAGACCATTTTTTAACTTGACGTCACTGTATAAGATGACCTCCAGGATAATCACGGCCTCATGACACTTAACCACCACAAACTACAGAGGATGTATGGCTTTCCTTAATATGTTAACAATAATGGAGTTTATGAGCAGTTTCCACAACAGAAGTTCTCACCATTAAAATCACAGAAATATGCAACTTTTGCAAAAATCTCCAAATGCCAAAAGTTTTTTTTATACCAAATCACAGCATGACTTTTTCTACGGTGTTCCTCAAGGTCTTGGTGTGTTAATGTGGTATTTTGGAAGGATTTTTGATCAGTTTTATCAATTCTCGTGTGGTTACTATGTTTGAAATTGAGCACAAAATCTGTGTAACAAATGGTATCAACCCAAAAATTGCTGCAACAACTTATGTGACCTAATGGAACACAGCAATGGCCATCATATACTTCTATCATAATGGTCTAAGTTCTTTTACACTTTCACAATTAGTTTTAATTAATCAATTCATTTTTATTTATAAATTTGTGACTAGAAGAACTTTACACACACTGCTGAGCTGCATCTTCATGTTCCAAACTTTACAGATGATGTTCATCACTTCTATGTGGCATCTACTGTTGACCTGCTGTCTCCCCCTAAAGATCCCCTGTTCCCCCCCTAAAAACGAAAAAAATCAGATCTCTGTGGGTCCCTTAGGGTTGAACACATACAATCTTTTCAACAAGAATGCTGTACTTACCACTGTATGATTAGTGACTCTCCTGTGCTCCTCAGGTAAACCCACCTTACTATGTCAAACTGGTGGAGCTGGTACCTCACCCAGAGACGGCAGCAGCCGTTATGGACACCACCCACTCCCTAATGACCAAGGTAAAGACTAAGCCAAAACAATCCTAGGTATGTCAGGACCTGTGGGAGATATGCAGTGAGTCAATATCAGGTTTTATGAGACACATGAAAAATGAATGAATGTAGGTGAGGAATGGAGTTATGTGGTATGTTTAGTGTTGGTAAAAATCCTAGCTTGCAAACATTTTGTCCGTTTGTTTGTTGTACTCACGGTTTGATTATCTGACATCATAGGGATGACAGTGTGTCACGACTCCCTGGATTAGCACACTGATTATTCAAAACAAATCCTTGCAAGTCTGTGCAAGATGAATTTCAAAACATCTTGAGTTAAATGCAAACCTGTGACTTCCTGGAAATGATCTGTTTAATTCCCTGGGCGTACTAAGATTGGTAGTAAACTTTGACCTAATTTTCTTAAACGTGCAGAATAATAAGTATTGTCTTTTAGGAGATAAAGTACTGCCATTCATTTTTTCATAAATTGTGTTTATTGTATTTTTTAGATAAGTTCAAAGCATAGTCTACATTGCCAAGTTTTTACCTTGGAATAATGAAGACTAGTAGTACCTTGAACTATATTAGCCCATGTTATGTTTATGCTACATGTACATTCATCAAGGCATCTACCCCACATTGTAATTCTTGACACAACTTGTTTCTCTTGATTCAGGTTGGCCAGGCACCCGTCCGTCTGACGAAAGAGATCGATGGCTTTGCCCTCAACAGAGTGCAGGCGGCCATTATTGCAGAGTCCTGGAGGCTGGTCCAGGTCAGTGTCTAGTTTCTGTCCTTAGGTGAAACGGTGGAGTTAGACTAGTTATTTCACTGCTTTTCTTCTGAAACTAGTGTGGAATTTGAAACACACCTAGAAATCTTAGCCATGCCCTGTTCTGTTTCCATGTACTAACAGGACTTTTTCCTTCGACATTATATTCATCCTTCACCTGCAATTAACTCCACATCAGGGTTAAAGCTGGAGGCCGGGTCATTTAAATATAAATTAACGTCCATTACATTAAAGCACTTGCCAAAGGAGTTCACACAATGCTGATTAGGCTCATTGCCACCAGTGAAAGCTCACTGCGTTTTGCAATATGCCAGAGTTGTAGTGTCGGTGGCGACTTTCCTGCGCAGGCGCACCAGAAGTGGTGCGTTTTTACGTCAACCAGCCAGAGGTAAAAGGGGGAGACAATAGCGGCTGAGCAGCAGCTAGGAACGGGGTGGAAATCCTCATGCGTCCATGAAAGGTTTCTGGAGTGGATGCTGCAGATAAAAAAGGAACTCTGCGTTCAGAAGAAGGTAAAAAAAAAAAAGAAGAAATCGATCGGCAGCGAGGACAAACAGATCTTGACCTTTTCTTTCCCTCTGCCAAAATTTACACGGGAAGTCGTGAAGAGAGCACTTCTGGGGGCGATACGGCGAGCTCACCTGCAGGCCATAAGCATGCACCAACATTGTTCGTGTAATTACACTTTTTGCCAGAGGGGGAGTCAAAGGTTCCCCACTGCAGGTTTTAGGTTTGAATTATTATATATTTTTTCCTTTTTCTACCTACTTCATGAGAGTGAATATAGATGCTGTTTTAGATTGATTGTTGACAGTAGGAACAGTATTAATAGTGGCGTTTTTATTGGCTAAACACCAACTTGTTTGTTTTGAGTGAACCAAGCAAGTTTAATGACTAATTTGGCACATCAGCATATTTGTCTTTAAATGTTTAACAATTGCTATATGCCCTAACTGTATAATATTAAATATGAATAACCAGCAAAAGCAAAACATTTTAACGTGTCAATACAACATTTTGAGGGTTGGGTCCTCGGTCCTGGTGAAGGTCCTCATAACGTCAGAAACACAAGAGTGTGTGTGTTCATGTTTTCTTTTTTTTAAAATCTCTACACAAGAGCTCCTCAGTCTCAGTGAGGCCTTGTGTTGCTGAGTATCGCTGCTCATGGTTTTGTAATGGAGGCAGAAAAGAGGAAGCCCTCTGCTGTAATCTCCATGGTCTCCTTCCAAAGTAAAAAAAAAAAAGGAATACAATGAGAGTAAATGAGCCTTAGCCTCTGATGACAGGCGCCATTACACGATCACTCAGGGAAGAAAAGCTTGGAATGATTGTGATGATTGTTACCTGAACTGAACTCGCATGAACACATTGTGATTCAGGCTTCGAATATCACAGACAGAATTATTTTTGTAGAAGATTCATAAACTTTTGTGCTAAATATTTGATGATACTTTCTTGTTGTATTTGTTTCAAGGCTCTTGCTCCTCTCTTTAGTTTACATTGACCTGTGGGTCAGTAACACTGCTGGTTTGGCCAGTTCTCCCTTTCAAAGGGCTTTAAAATCTCAGTAGAATTCTGTTTTACAAAATCAAACTACTGATATGCAAAATTGTCGAATCAGTTCATGCACATATGAATATTTCAAACTTTCAAAGTTTACTTTATGACATACTACAACTTTATGATTTTATTAAGTCTACACTTTTCAAATTGATGCAGCAGAAGCTTAGATATCATGACAAGCTCCAAAAAGACTGGATCCTACATTTCCCACCCCTGCCGAGTAAATGCTCAAAACCTTTAAACGCATGGCCCCAGTTTGTAACACTTTTCTGCTGTAAATTTGTTTTCACAGGCTGATTAATAGTCCTTAACCCTTCAAATAAGTTGCTCTGAGGACAAAAATGTGTGTCAAAAAGCTGCCATAACTTTCACCGAGTTAAATTTTTCAGCCAACTTCAGTCAAAAAATGTAACTTTAAAAGCCAAAAATGTCCCTCGTGAGGCACAAGGGTTCTATTAAACTGATGTTGATGTGTAACATTAAATCAAAAGTAGAACTTGTTCAGATCAGAAGTCTTAAATAATGAATTTAAATAATAATACAGTCAATGTCTGCAATGCGTTTGTCAGAGTAGGTGTGAGTGTTCGATATCTGACTTTGGAATTAATCTCTTCAAACATTGTGTTGGTTATTTTCTGACAAAAACTCCTGAATGCTGACTGTTGACTAGATTACAAGACGATTGAAGCTGTGACGGATTAGCTCTGCCCTCTGTCGGGATGAATTTCTACTGTATGTTAGAACAACTCCCATCTCTTATCACAAACACAGGACATAACCCCAGAAAAGCGTCTTAGATCAGTGTCTCTGTCTTTCTGCCTCTTTACTCCATCTCTTTTCTCTGTCGGAGATGTTTAAAAAATAGTGTCCTTCTCACAACTAAATCAGCATATTGCTTCCTTGTCCCTGACATGACTGTACAAGTTACAGTGTGCAACTCTACAGACACGCACATGCTCACAAAACAAAAAGTAACACTAAAGGTGGGACGACTGCAGCAAAACACTTTAAGAGAACATAACAACGAAAAATGATCATGATCCAACAGGGAAGGGTGTGAATTTGGGTGTGACAGCACAATGTTGTCAGTTATTTCATCAGAGAGGTTTTTTCCATTGGGCGATGCAGATCTGTGTCGCACTTTGTCTTGTTGTCAGCTTCAGTTAGAGTACCATGTTTTGAAATCTGTGTTTAAAAGAAAACAATATTACTGTTCTACGAATGACAGACTTTGGCCTTCCTAGAAATTAATCTGTAATAAAAGACCAAGAACTAAGAATAGTTTACATTTTATATGGACACTTTATTAAACCACAAATGCCTCATTACATTGTGCTGTCACACCCAAATTCACACCCTTCCC